ATGCCATCATATTATCCCAACACTCATCACTGTGTGGAGGACCCCCTTTTACTAAATGATTTATTGCTCTTTGCAGAATTCCTTTGGCTGCAGATTTTCTTTCTGAGTCACTGTGTTCAGCTCAATTGGTCGCCTTCAGTTACCGTGGCAACCAGCAGATGGGGTTCTTTGACAAGGGTCAGCGGGGAGGCTGCCTTGGTTTAGACAGAAGAGGAGCTAAATAAAAAGCTTTCAGCATTGACTGTTCTGTAGTGGATGGCCAGGAGTTGTTATCAGATTACTTGCATTAAAACCTAATTAAGATGTGTGCCAATAAGTGAGCTGTAGTGATTGAATCTGGTTACTTAGCTGCCGTGGGCCCAATCTTATTCCATCACACCTCTGTGGCTAGTTTGACTATCCCAAGAATGGTCAGATATGAAGGAAATTGAGGAAGACCTCACCACAGTGTGGAACGTGACATACTCTGGGACCACAACAGGAGGGTTTTAGTCTCTGGGAGCACCAGGAAGACCCCATTCAAACAGAAACTTCCTGAAAACACAGCAGTGTGTCCCCCAAACCCAAGATGGCAATTGAACAGGACCTCCATGCGTCTGATAGTTTCATGTCTTCCGTTAAGACTATTGGTAATTTAATTGCAAATAGCATTCAACAAAATAAAACTGGCCTGTAATCATTCTGGGTTAAAGAAGTCTAAATAGAGACATGCCAACTAAGTATGAAGGATCTTTTCTGGAGTGGGAAGAAAGGAACATTATTGGGCCAGTCAACAAGATTAGAATCCAATTCAGTAGGTTGGATGAAACTATTAGGTCAATATAAAATTGACTGTAGTTGTTAATATACTGTGGTTCTCTAAGAGAATACCTTTATCCTTAGGAAATACACACTGTAGCATATAAGATAAAAGGGCAATGGTGCATGCAGCTTACTGTCAACTGGTTCTGTACACACACACACACACACACACACACACACACGGAGAGAAGGGAGAGCATAATAAATCAGATGGGGCAAAACTATTACAATAGGTGAGTTTGGATAAAGGGTATGTTGGTATTCTCTAATATTCTTGCAACTTTTTATAAGTTTGACATTATTTCCAAATAAACCAGTTTTTAAGGACGGCTTTAGGGTGAGGTAGGGTATGGTGTGCATGGCAGTGTGGGTTTTCCTGCTGGTGCTTCTTTATGGCCTTGAGCTACATGCAGCATAGATATTACTCTGCAAAGATTCTGATTTTCAACCATTTCCATTCCTCTGTCCCATTTCCTTTGCACAGTGGGGCTATCCTCACCATGACTCTGTTCTTGCTTGAGACAAAGCTGATTAAGGTAACTCTTGCTTCAGGCAGATGGTCTTCTCGGTTCTTCAAAGTCTAAGATTCATAACGTGTCAACTGCTGTCACTCTTGTTTCATGGTGTCAGGATCCTTTGTTCATGCTCAGTCTTCCAAAGGTGTTACAAACTCAGCCTTGGTTAGATAGCACTTGTATTTTAAGAAGGTTACAAGGTAGTGATACAACAGATCTAATGGACCTAAGATGAAACTCTGCCTCCTTTTTGGTAGAAGCACTGTTTTAAGAAGTTGGTCTTTGACGAGCTTCGGTGACATTGTCAGAGGCTTTAGGGTCCTGTCGGAGGCAGCAGTGCTGGAGCTTGAAGAGCTGAAAGTGTCCCCGTGGCCATGGGCCCATTCACTGGGTATTCACTGGGGGCCTCTGTGGCACTGTGGGTTTCCCAACATGGCCTTCCAAGCTTCTGGCCTTTTTTGCATCCTTCGTGCCAACACCAGTCTATGGATGAGATCAATTGTGTCTCAAAGTGTGGTTTCCAGAGTACGGTCCTCAAACTGTTACTGGTCTGGGATGAGGCAAGAACTGAAATTGCGTCAGAAATTTTCCAAGCAATCAAACACTGCTTCTTCCTTTTTCTTGTACTCCACAAAACCATTAGACTGCAATAGATTGGAAATTTTAAAAGAATTAAAATCAAATCGGGTCCTCCTCACTGAGCTCACTGGAGACGCCCTGGCCTAGGGATTTCTCTCTCCTCTGGCCCCCAGGCCTCGGAAAAGGAGCTGGTGTCAGCTGCTGCCCGGAAGATTGCCCCGCGTGTTCTGTCTCTCAGGGTCCTTCCCTGAAATTCTTGTGTTTCACATGGAATAGAAGAACATCGCGCCTTTCAAAGAAGGATTTTGAGATGCTGCAAAGCTCACTGGATTTGGAGTCAACAGATGTGGGCTGTAGCGCCAGATTTACTACAGACAGGCTGCCTGACCTGGGGCAAGTCACTTATACTTTCTTGGTTTCACCATAATGGGCTGAACTGAGTGTTCTCCAAGGTGCCTCTCAGCCCTAACATAATATGATTCTTTTGATGAGAAGAGCAGGATTTGATCCCCCCATCACTTGGGGGCATCCCCAAGGAGCCCCCTGTTCTTCCTCTGCAGGCAGCCAAGGCTAATTAGGAATCTGAGAGAATGAGCCAGGAAAGGGGCAGTACAGGACATACATGCTCTTCATTGAAGGTGGTTACCCCATCCCGTACTGCACGATCCTCAGGAAAATTCCTCTATTGAAACCATTATCGAATAGGGTAGATTTAGGCAAAGGAAATTTAAACAGCAAACCAGCCACTAAAAGTGCCTTAATGTGACGCCTGTAATCCCAGCACTTTGGGAGGCTGAGGTGGGCGGATCATGAGGTTAAGAGATCAAGACCATCCTGGCTGACACGAAAAAACCACGTATCCCACAAAAAAAAAAAAAAAAAAAATTAGCTGGGCATGGTGGCATGCGCCTGTAGTCCCAGCTACTTGGGAGGCTGAAGCAGAAGAATCATTTATTTGAACCCGGGAGGCAGAGGTTGCAGTGAGCCAAGATTGTGCCACTGCACTCCAGCCTGGCCACAGAGTGAGACTGTCTAAAAAAAAAAAAAAAAAAAAAAAGCGCGTTAATGTTCTGAGCGAGAATAATGGGCTAGAGCGTGTTCCGGAAGCCTCAGCACACTGCTTGTTCTCGCTGATAGGACCTCGTCCATGAGATGGAATTATGTAAAATGCCGCAGCAATGGTTAAGTGTTAGAATGAAGTAATACAACTTTACATTAACATGGTTTATTCACTAGAATTAATGACCTAGAGCAGTAATCGCGTTTTCAAAACTTCAGCTTGCTGACTAGGTGTATTGCTATGTAAATAGCTAGCGATATTTAAAGATAGGAACACAGTAAAATCTGTAAAGTAATAGGATTGTAGAAATATGGAGCTGGAAGAGAATGTAGTCATCTAGCCCCGAGGCTGGCAAACTTTAAAAGGTCAGGTAATAAATATTGTAGGCTCCATGGCCATATGGTCTCTGTCGCAGCTACTCGGCCGTTATGGTGCAAAAGCAGCCATAGACCAAACGTGAATGAATGGGCATGGCTGAGTTTCAATGGAAGTTTATTTAGGGGCACTGCAAGTTGAATTTCATGCAGTGTTCACATATTATACTCCTTTTGATTTTTAAAAAATCATTTTAAAATGTAAAAATCACTCTCAATTGGCAGATCATACAGAAACAGGCAGTGGCCTGCAGTCTGAAGTGTGCTGACCTCACTTCTAGTTTTCTCCTCTCATTTCACATGTGAGGAAACTGAGATTCAAAGTGATCACAGGATTTACTTAAGTTCTCATGACTGATGCCAGAGTATTTTAGGAGCAGACTAGGAGAGTTTTCATATAGACAGTTGGTTGTTTTGATGATGAAAATTGAAGCCACACAAAGATTATTCTCCAGAAGAACTCATTTTGTATGTGTGATTAATACTGTGAATTAGAATGTACCAGTAGTTCTCATGCTTAAGTAGTTATCAGAGTCATCCAGGGGACCTTACTAAAATGCATGCTGCTGGGCCCCACCTCAGAGCTGATGGTTCAGAAGGTCTGGAGATTACTTATATTCTTAGTTTTACAAATGGAGAACCTGAGGTTGAGGGAGACATTCAGTTTCGGGCTTAAGGTAAAATAGCTAGCTTGTGATAGGGTTTTGAACCCATGTCCCCCATTTCCAAGTTCAGCACTCATAGGATTAGGATTAGAGCTACAGGTAATCATCAAGCAGAGAGGCAGGACTGGAGTTTTGTTTAGAGAGATCCTTCTAGTCTAGCTGTTGTGGGGAGTATGGATTACAGGGGGCCGTGTGGAAGCACACAACTCTATGAGAAGGCTGTGCAGGAACCTGGATGTGAAGTGCTGGCAGCTGGACTTCAAGAGTGAAGGTCATGGAATGGATGGGTGGGATGGATGGGTGGATGGATGAGTGGGATGGATGGTGGGATGGATGGATGGATGGATGGTGGGATGGGTGGATGGATGGGATGTGTGGATGGATAGGTGGGATGGGTGGATGGGTGGGAAGGGTGGATGGATGGGATGGATGGGTGGATGGGTGGGATGGATGGGTGGGTAGGATGGATGGGTGGGACGGATGGATGGGCAAGACGGATTAGTGGGATGGATGGATCTGTGGGATGGATGGATCGGTGGGATGGATGGATGAGTGGGATGGATGAATGGGGGATGGGTGGATGGATGGGATGTGTGGATGAATAGGTGGGATGGGTGGATGGGTGGGAAGGGTGGATGGATGGGATGGATGGGTGGATGGGTGGGATGGATGGGTGGGTGGGATGGATGGGCAGGACGGATGGATGGGCAGGATGGATTAGTGGGATGGATGGATCGGTGGGATGGATGGATCGGTGGGATGGATGGATCGGTGGGATGAATGGATGAGTGGGATGGATGGATGAGTGGGATGGATGAATGGGGGATGGGTGGATGGGTGGGATGGATGGATGGATGGGATGGATGAATGGATGAGTGGGATGGATGGATGAGCGGGGTGGATGGATGAGTGGGATGGATGGATGGATGGGTGGATGGATGGATGGGTGGGATGGATGGATAAGTGGGATGGATGGGTGGGTGGGATGGATGGATGGATGGATGGATAGATGGATGGATGGATGGATGCATGGATGAGTGGGATGGATGGATGGGTGGGGTGGGATGGGATGAGATGGGAGAGGTTCAGAAGGCCTAAAGGGCTCATCTATGGAACCAGGAGACTGAGCCGTGGGGATGGTGACTAGGGGTGGTCCCACCCACATAAGAGGGTCACAGAGAGAGGAGCATTGAGAGATGACTCCACTGTGTCAGGTGGCGAGTTTGAAGTGGGCTTGGAAATGCAGGGGAGAGGCCCGAGGCTGGGATCAAGTGCTCAGGATCCTTGTCCTCTCCACTTGGAGTCATGAGTGTAGATTTTAAAAATCATGCAGGCAGAACGTTTCCAGTCAGGAGGGTGCTGACCCCATTCCTGGGTCACACCAGCATTTGAAGGTCTGATGGAGGAGGAAGAGGTGCCTGAGATGATGGGACCAAAGGGGAGTGAGAGACCAGGACAGAGTCTAAGAAGGAGAGTGATGAGTCACACTGTGGGCCTTACTCTGTGGCCTTGGTGGCTTAGGTAATCCTGGCTCTGCCTTACCTTGTGTGCGCTTGGGCAAACGATCGCTTCTCTGCACCTTGCTTCTCTCTTGCATAACATGCAGATGATAAATTAATGCGTAGTATTGTTATAAGGATTAAATTAGTTAAGGAATGTAAAATGCTTACAATGTGGGCATTTAGTAAATGCCCAGTAAACATTAGAGGAGGCCGCTGGGAGGAGTAGAAAAGTGAGTGCATATTTTACAGTTCATGTATTTGCACCTTTGAAATCCATATGTTGTTTGAAAAATGTTCTTCATTTCCATGAGGAGGACGCCACTCCCAGGGAAATAGTCTAAGCACTTTGAGAACACTTATCTAAGAGAAAGGACAATCTTTGCTGTAGTCAGAGGGACCACAGGGAGGAGGCTCTGGTCTGAAAACATTTCAGAACAAAAGATTTTACCATTACCACCAAAACCAAAACCAAAACAAAACCCAAAACAACAACAACAACTAAAACCTTCCACTGTAGTCTGTAGGTAGCTCCCAGGGGGAATTGTCCAGTGAAGCAAAAAACTCTCATTGAAAAACATATACGCATGAGGATACAGGCCCCCTCTGGGGAAGGAAGGGGCTGGCCTGGAGAAGAAATCCATTGGTAGTGGCCCTGTGGGGCTGGTGCTAGGTTCCCAAGTGTTCATTTGGTTATTATACCTCATAACTTATTTATACATTGCATATATTTTGTATGTATCACATACAACATAAAAAAATTTAAATATATGTATTCACTTGCTTTCACAGTATTCATAGCAAATGAGTGTCTGAAGCATAGGACCAGAGCTGGCAGCTTGCACTGCTTCTGTTTTGCATAAGATATTTTCCCCAGCCCACTCAGCTCTATAAAGTTGTTTTGTATTTCACCACTTGCTCCATCTTATCTTGAAGCCTTGCATATTTTTTTAAATGCTGGTTCTGATCATGCTTGCAGGGTGTGGCTCAGAGGATCGCTGTTGGACCAATGGAGATCTGTCTGGGCCCAGCACACTCATGAGTCCCCTGTGATTTCATCAGCATCTGCCTTTAGAAACCTGGGCGTGTTTGTTCCCATGGTAACTGCTGCCCCTGACACGCCCGAAATTCCTGGCGATGCCCTTGTGTGGAAGGGGAGCCCGTGATGCCCATTCTACCCCTGCATAGGGCAGCTGCTTTTCTCCACCAGGGTCCCCAGTCCTGCCCAGGCAGGGGTGGCAGTTGTACATCTGCAGATCCTGAAGGACATGGACCCTGTGCCTGAGACGGCCACACTAGCCTGGGTGCGGGCTCCCTCAAGTGTCCTTCCTCATGCACCTGCGGGCCCTACCCTGTGTTGTAAGGGCCGGGGAGCACGGGGGCTTCCTGGGAGGAGGACGGGCTTCCTGCCCCTGATGGGGCCTGGCCACAGCTCCCAGGGCTCCATGACAGCACAGTGAAGATACCAGCCACATCCTGGGGGCCCTGGATGCAATCCCTGCCTGTTGTAAAGATGAGATAAAGGCGGGGGGAAAGAAGGGTCTGAATTAGGGGTTGAGCTCTGAAATCTGGCGATTCTGTGTTTCTTGCCGCATGGAGGGTGTGTGGTTCGCAGGCCGCGGGGCGCTTCTGCCAGCGGGGGCTGGTGCCTAAACACACTCTGCAGACCCCATGGTGGCAAAAGCCCCTCGCCCTGTTCATGACTTAATGCCTCCTAGAAGAAAAGGCTAAAACCAAGACACACAGAACAAGAAATTGCACCCTCAAAGCGACAGTTGCTCTGAGACTGGAACGCTGAAAGAGGTTTCCAGGCCCGTGGCGATGGTGATGGGGGTGAAGGTCGCAGGTGGAGGGCACGGGGCGGCGGCTGCGGAGCCGGGGGAGGAGGCGGCGGGTGCCCGGGTCTTCCTCGGAGCGCGCCCCTGGGCTGGGCGACTGTCCCTGCCTCCCACCGGCGCCCTGGTCCCCGCAGCAGCTTCCCCGCCGCCACCCCGCTGCCTCGTCCCCTTTCTCAGCAAACAGTGGTGCCCGCTACGTGGGGGATCCTGGAGGCTGCTGAGCACGAGCGCCCTCCTCGACCCGCCCCTGCTCCTGCCTCCACTCTTGCCTCGGGGGGAGGGTCTCAATCTTCTGCCTAAGGCGCCCTCCTCCCTCGGGAAGTCCGCTGTCCTCTGCCGTGAAGATTGCCCCTCTCTCCTCCAGGGCCTCCTCCCCAGCGGCTCCCACCCTCCGCACCCCATCTTGCGACCTCCCCGCCAGCCCAGCCCCTCACCAGAAGAGCCTCTCTCTTCCAGCCCCTGAAATCTGGCTTCTGCCCCAGCCAGGAGCCTGTGCAGGGCGCTTCGCCACCAGGTGGCATTTCCCACAAACCGGCCACTCCGCCCTGACCCCTCTCCTCCCTGGACCTCCATCTCCCAGTTTTCCTCCCTCCAGGATCCCACTCTCAGTGTCTTGCCAGATTCCTGTCCGCTGCCAGCCCTTGAATGCGGCGGTTCCTAAACCCCTATCCTGGGGCGAGCCCTGCCCTCTCACTGTAGAAGAGCTTCTCAGCCAGGGGGTCTTGCGGGCCGGATATCTGCATTTTTAACAAACTCCCCACACTGACAATCTGTGCCAACCCTTCCCAGGCAAATCTTGCCCCCGCGTTCATGGCCTCGCCTCCCAGCAGGCTTGGCCCACTCCGCTAGAGCTCCAGCTCGGCCCTCCTAAGCCCCAAGCTGCATAACTGCCTGGTGGGAGCGTGTTCCACAGGTACCTCGGACTTGCCCTGACCCCAGAACTTCTCTTCTACTCCAGGCCGGTCCCTCCTGCCATCCTCTGTCTGGTAAATGGCACTGCCATTGCCTGCAGGACGAAGTCCATACTTGTGTTTTTGGCTACAGAGTCCAGCGTCACCTCTCTCTGAGCAGCCTGCAGCCTCTGGTCCAGCCACACTGCACAGCTTGCAGTTTCCAGATAGGCAGTGGCCTTTGCACTGCCGGCCCCACGTGGGAAGGCCCCGCCCCTGGCCCTGGCCAGAACAGCACCCACTCATCCTTTCCCATCCCAGCTTGCCCGCTGAGTGACTTTGAATGAATAATTCATGTTGCCTGTGCCTCTGTTTCCTCATCCTTAAAGTGGCATAATAATTCGTTCCTGCCTCATGGAATTGTGAGTGCCAAACAGTAAGTCCAGTGCCCGACATAGTAAATGCTCAGCATATGATGATGATGAGCCACGTCTAAGCAGGCGCAAGCCCTCCCAGGCTTCTCATCTGCAATATTGGCCATTTCTCTTCATGCCTCAGTGTCCTGTTTGAGTTGAGCATGTTTTTTTACAAGTGAGTCTCCTCCATTGGCCAGGAACCGTCCGAGAGCCGGGAGCATTTGTCATTCTTGATGGACTCCCAGGACCTAAATTAGTACTTGACCCTTAAGAGGTGTTGGCTGGGTGCGGTGGCTCATGCCTGCCATCCCAGCACTTTGGGAGGCTGAAGTGGGCGGATCATGAGGTCAGGAGTTCGAGACCAGCCTGGCCAACATAGTGAAACCCCCGTCCCTACTAAAAATATAAAAATTAGACGGGTGTGGTGGCATGCACCTGTTGTCCCAGCTACTTGGGAGACTGAGGCAGGAGAATTGCTTGAACCCGGGAGGCAGAGGTTGCAGTGAGTCAAAATTATGCCACTGCACTCCAGCCTGGGTAACAGAGCCAGACTCCATCTCAAAACAAAACAAAACAAGGTGTTTACCAAGGGTTGGTTCATTTAGTGAATTAAGTGAGTTAACCACCATTAACAATGGTTAAGGACACCTGGGCACTGGCTGGATTTGACTCCAAGCTCTACCGATTACTTGTGTGACTTTGTGCAAGTTAATCAACATCTCATCTTGTTTTCTCATCTGTAAAATGGGGATGATACTAGCATGTACCTCCCAGGACTGTAGTGAACTTTTAATTAAGATAATTATTGAATTTAATAGGTAGTTTATTGATTAATCAATTAAATTTACATAGGTAATTGTGGCGCAGTGAGCCCAGGGGCTCAGTAGGTGTTAGCAGTCATCAGAGGTGCTATTTGAAACTGTGGGTGGATGAAGAGGTGAACTCAGGACCACGAATATGAGAGAGCAGTAACCACCATAGAAAAGAAAAGAGAGCCTAAGTGTCTAGGACACCCCAAGCAATCTCTTCTGAATGACGGCAATGAGACATCCATTAACAGTGGGGTAGGCTGGTTTGTGCCGGGTTGGAGGCTCTTCCAAAAATAAACAACTTTAAAAAAATCTCCCCCGGGTGTGGTGGCTCACACCTTTAATCCCAGCACTCAGGGAGGCTGAGGTGGGTGGAGCACAAGGTCAGGAGTTCAAGACCAGCCTGGCCAAGATGGTGAAACCCCGTCTCTACTAAAAATACAAAAATTAGCTGGGCACGGTGGCAGGAGCCTATAATCCCAGCTACTTGGGAGACTGAGGCAGGAGAATCGCTTGAACCAGGGCCGCATAGGTTGCAGTGAGCCAAGATCGAGCCACTGTACCCCAGCCTGAGTGACAGAGTGAGACTCCATTAAAAAAAAAAAAAGTCTCGGGCCGGGTGCGGTGGCTTACGCCTGTAATCCCAGCACTTTGGGAGGCCGAGGCGGGGGAGTTCAAGACCAGCCTGACCAACATGAAGAAACCCCATCTCTACTAAAAATACAAAATTAGCTGAGCGTGGTGGTGGATTTCTGTAGTCTCAGCTACTGGGGACACTGAGACAGGGGAATTGCTTGAACCCAGGAGGAGGTTGCAGTAAGCCGAGATCGCGCCATTGTACTCCAGCCTGGGCAACAAGAGCACACCTCTGTCTCCAAAAAAAAAAGAAAAGAAAATCTCTTTTCCCAGTATTTGTAATATAGGGAGTCTTCAAGTTGGTTTAAAAATGGAGTCAATGGGAATCCATCCTCAGCTCTTAGCTGTGAAGGGAGGGCTGCCCCCCTCTCAGGGATCTCACTCCTCACAGCAGGGGTGCTTCTGTGGAAACCTGGTCAGCTGGTCCCCTGCTGTCCTGCGGGGCTCACACCCAGGCACTTGATTCAGCGGGTCTGGGTGGTATCTCCTTCCTCCTCCCCACCCCAGTAATCTCTATAGCTTTCCCAGGGCCCCAGGTTGCAAAGCACTCTGGACTAAGCCTCCTCCAGGTTATGAGGGCTCCACAGGAGGAAGGTCTAGGCCGGAACCGGCCTAGAACCCCCGTCGCTGAAGGTGGAGCCAGGGTGGCCTGCCATGCCCGGCGTTTATGCTGTGAGAGCGGCTCTGGCCCTGCCCATTGCCCTGGATGGGCTGCCATCCCTTTTCAGGAGTTCAAAATCACATACCGAACCCATTGGTCCAAAGGACCATCATCCCGTTTGATCCTAGCACAGGGCAAGGGACCACATGGACAGTGGCTGCTCGCGGCACCTTCTTGCTATGCAGTCATGTCCTGGTGTTATTTGTCACGTTTCTGTTCCATTATTTTCAAGCAAGCAGGAAGCCACGGGGCTACCACCTCAGTTGCTCTTAGCCAGTGACTCTCTCCACAGGTAGGCCTTCATCGGAGGGGAAAAGCCACTTTAGGGTTCTAGAGCTCAAGGGCTAGTGATGCTTTTCACCTGCTGATTTAAATACAGAAGCATCGGATTGTCTGCTTCTCAAGGAAAAGAGCTATTACCATCTCTGTCTCTTCAACGGGACCCACTCCTGGGACCTAGAGCAGGGCAGGTGCTCAGATGAATCGTGGCCGCCTGCCTGTGTCAGAGGGTCGGCCTAGGCAGGTTCCCCAGCCCGCTGGTCCAGGACGTCCTCCTCTCTCCCGGCCACTCGCTGCTAAGGACAGCCCGGGCTCCCGGGGCCATGCAGGAGAGCCTCTGTGATCTGCTCCAGTGCGGTGGCTTTGAGAGTAGCTCCCAGGAAAGGCTGCCTCAGCCCCAGCGTGATGGGGACGGGTAGGGGCAGATGAGGCTTCCCAAAGCAGCTATGACCTTAGGTATCGCCAGAAGGAAACCTACTTTTCCTCCAAGATCAGAGGGAAGGATGGGGTAGGATGAGGTGGGATGGGATGGGATGGGGTAGGATGGGGTGGGATGGGGTAGGGTGTTGGAGCATCACCATGTATATATGTCACACACACAGGGAAACACTCCTACTTGGATGGAAGATCTTTGCTGTTCTGTTGAGGCCAGCCTGATCCTGGAGGCAGGGCAGGGCTAGGCTGTTGCCTAGGCTTGAAAGAGGCGCCAGGGCGTCCCTGAGTCCTTACACTTTCCCCAGAACCTGCGGGCAGCAGGAGGCCCTTGGCGGGGTAGGGAGGGGCGGCGGTGGTGCGGTTGTGGGCGTGGCCACTCGGAGGCGCCCAGCCCGGGGGCGGGGCTTCCTGGGAGCATGCGCAGTGCCGGCTCTGCCCGGGCTGGGGCCTAGACTGCCGCCCCCGCCTCCCCGGCACAGGTAGGGCGCCCCACAGACCGGACAACGCAGGGTATGGCTGAAAACGGGGAGTCACGGTGCGTTCTGGGGAAGGGCCAGGGCGAGGCCCCTTGACCAAAGCCTCCAGCCCAGCCCAGCGGAGGCTGAGAAGGGCGGTGGGGCAGGGCCGGAGTAGCCGTGGGGAAATGGGAGGGCGTGGGCCGAGCAGCGCTGCGCGGGAGGAAGGTGCCACCATCGCCGGGTTTCCCAGAGGGCAGTGGTTCCTGTGCCCGCATGTGCGGCCTTTTCTGTGAAGGAACCTATCCCAACCCCAAGGCCCAAACATGTGGCCGCGTCAATGTTTGGTTGTGCTCGGAGCCCCAGGAGAAGCCGAACTGAGGGCAGCCAGAGGCCGGTGTCCGCAGAACGGCCCACGAGGTCTTCGGCTCCTTGGCCTGGAGTTTGAAATGCACCTTGAGCTTTAATGGCCTTTTCCTTGTGCGACTCCGAGTTAACGTGGCTGCTGGTGCTTTTGGCGGGTGAGGACGCGAGGCAGGCCGCACATCTCGCTGCTTTCCAGCGCACTCTGGGTAGTCATTCAATTCCCAATTTAATCCAAAGCCAACAGTTCCGTGAGTGAGTGTGCTGCTGGCTGTAGGAAGCCGACTGTGGACAGATGAGGATAATGGTCTGAGTGAATTAGCAAGTCTGGAGAGGAGCGCCCATCAGCAGAATGACAAATTTAGGATCTTTAAAGACATCTGGTCAGCGATGCCGGAGCTCGTGATTGACTGAGTGATTAATAATGGAAAACCCTTACTTCAGTGTTTCCACGGCCCTCACCCACGTCCCCAGCCGGGGCGGCCGTCCGCTCAGCCTGCCAGAGACCTTTCCAGCTGAACAATGGCGGCAGTTGGGCCCGCATCTTTGACCTGTACTTGTTAGTTCAAAGTTTCCTTTTTTCTTCTAGTTACCCCACTTATCTGCGTGTTTTCTAATTGATAGTGTTCTGAGATGGCTCCCAGTTCCCACGCACATTCGCTAGAATGTTACCTTCAGGGTCACCTTAGGCGTCCTGCTTACGGTTCCCTAGCAGGGGCTTCCCTCAGATACACACAGCCCCTGGGCCTGTTGAAAGGCTGACGTTATCCCTCTTTAATTCTGCGGTGGATTTTTCTTCAGGCTAAGGCAGCTGGATAAGCACAGCCAGGCCACAGCCCAGCAGCTGGTGCAGCTCCTCAACAAGCAGAACCAGCTTCTCCTGGAGAGGCAGAGCCTGTCGGAAGAGGTGGACCGGCTGCGGACCCAGGTACTGTGCAGAACGCGGCGCAGGTGGGAGTCCTTGGGCGGGCTCAGCCCACCCAAGAACACGCGGGAGTCTACAGGTGGGTCTTTTATGCAGCTCAGCAGGCCGGCTTTCCCACGGATCACATCGGTTAGCAGTAAGCTGGGAGGGAGGTCCTGACGACTGTGCTGGGCAGTGCAGGACCCAGAGAAGCGGAGCCATGCGCTCGTCCTGGTGAGGGGGTTAAAGTCCGTGCAGGTGAACAGACCCAGGCCCGCGAATGAACGAACCACACCAAGTGCCAAGCTGCGCCGTGCAGGCTGCGGAGGGTGCGAGAGCAGGGAGAAGCGGGAGGACGGCCGTGGCCGGCAGAACAGGCTTTTTGGAGGAGGGTGGCCTTGAGCTGCCTCTGAAGGTCGTGTATGGTTTGAATTGGTTGAGGAAAGAGGTGTTCTCAATTAGCAAAGTCGTCTTGAATGGAATGCAGGCATCTTGTCCTAAATTAGCTGATTACTGGGCTACTATCTGGAGTGTTTGCAGAGCACCCGGCAGTGTCACACAGCATGCATTGATTCCCTTTACCCTTGAACAAGCCGGCGGTGCTGACATTATTGTCTCCATGTTTTAGATAGGGAAACCAAGGCCCAGACAAGCATTACAGCTGGTAGGTAGGGACACCACAAATGGAACCTGAGCCTGACTCCACAGCCCAGGCTTTCCCCATTCAGGTGAGATCCAGGGCCACCAGCAGGGAAAAGGGAGGAAGGAAAGTGTCCGGTGAGTTTTGAACGCGGTCTGAAACCTCTTGTTTTCTAAATCGCTTCTCTGCCTGTTAGAGAGGCTGTGCATTTTGCCCCATCAAGCAGTTTGTTAGGATAATGAGGCGGTCCTGGGCTGACCAAGGCCTCCGCCTTTCATTAGGATTACACCCAGGTGCTCTGTGAGTGCCCTGGGGACTTCAGGCAGTACACGCTTGGAGTGATGAATAGGAAAAATGCATCTGGAAATGGAAACGAAGAGGAGTCTCATTCTCCTTACAAAATGACCCTGTGCTCAAGGAACCTGTAAGTACTGACTTTTCCCACTCAGCCCAAAATCCCTCTGCAAAACATGTGTTCACAGGCAGTAAATGAGCACAGCCAGGCGCCAGGGAGCTAAGGCCTGGAGGTGGAAACGCCTCTGTGTCCCCAGGCTTCTGGGACTGCTCACCGGGACCGTGGGGGGAGCAGGCCGCTCAAAGTCCTAGCCACAGCCGCACTGCCACTGCTAAGCTAGGAGGCGAGGCCTCACCTGGCGTGCTCCACGGCAGGGTCCTGGAACCCGAATTTCGCCAAGCTGGTGGGGTGATTCTGGAGGACACTACATTTTGAAAACGTTCGAAGTGTTTGGAGCTGGAAAGAACAGAGAATTATTCCAGTCTGTGTCACTGTGCTGAAGCCCCCACCCCGCTTCGGACAAGTAACTTAAGCCTTTTTCCAGCCTCAGTTTCTCTGCACAGTGGGCATGGTGCACGCCTGGCTTCACGGGCTATGGGCGTGCTGAGTGCAGGCGGGATGCCCCACAGGCCCTGGGGCACACAGGCTGGACATGTGAGGGTGTTTCCTTTCTCCCTCATCTTCAGAGGGTCCTGGGAGAGGTTCAGGGAAGGCAGAGGCCTGCAGAGCAGCAGCCGTAGGACCAGCGCCACTCCCCTGTCCTCTGCTTTCAGGATGACCCCCTCATCCTCCAGACCCAGCTCAGAACCCAGCCCTGTGGGCAGGTCCCCAGGGAGGGCCCCAGCGGCATCTGCTTTAGGCCTGGCCAGCCAAAGGTCAGGGCCACTGGGGCCACTAGGTCTCCTGGCAGGTGACTAGGCTCTTGCCACATAGGAGGAAGGGACCGTGACTCCTGGCACGCGTGAATCTTTGGCCTCTAAAGCCAAGAGCTCGGTCACACCTCAGGTTGTGGGGAGTCTTCCATGGAAGCTGAAGCACACGGCGGCTTCCTTTGGGCTCTGGACTAGGTCAGGAGAACGTGGGCTTTGCCTTTTAACTCCCCATCTGCCTGCTTTACAGCACACTTAGATCTTAACATGGATCACCGATGCTTAGAAGCCTCTTCCAGGGCTTTAAAAATCTGGTTATGCCAAGTGAGTTGCAAAATTTTCACAAAATGCATTAAAAAAACCCCGAACCTCAAAAAATCCTCAGAAAAACTAGCAGGTCTTTCTTCTTTTGCCTGAAGCAACAGCAATGATTTGCCCATCCTGTGCTATCTGATACTGGCCCATCTGGCTCATCTCTAAAGCGGCCTTTCAGATTCAAATATTACACTTGGAGTTATTTTAATATGAACATGACAAAAGAAATTTGGTAGAGGGAATGTTGGCTTTCAGTTGCAAATACTAGTGGTCAGAGAGGAGGCAGGGATCCAGGTTTGGAAGCGCTCTGCGGAATATCTAAACCCAGAGCCCGCTTTTTCTGGCTGAGCCTGGCCTTCACCTCTAGGTAGGGGCTGTCAGTGGGCTTCAGCCCCTGCAATGCCTTTTTGTCACGGAACCAGCTTGTGAGTTAGGCTTCTGCTGAGCCGTGATGGAAGCGAGGCTGCTGTAGGTTCAAGCAGGTATTTTGGAGGAGGTGCCACCTGCGGGCTCTGGAGTGCTCAGCCAGCCTGTCTGTGTTCCTAGAGTGGCCTGCAGGTCCAGATCCTAGGCAGCCGAGGTTACAGCTGTCCTCATGTCCGGGTTAGAGATGGTTTAACTAAAGGCTTCCATTTTCTCAGCCTGGATGAGTTAAGCTTAACTTAATTTTGCATGTCTAACTCTAAACATCTCTGTCCACTTAATACCCAGAAGAGAATGGGTCGGGCAGCGGTTCCAAAGCAAAGTCCATCCCTTTCCTTCACTCCCTGTCCTGGGTCCTGAGCCCTGCTGCCCCTGGTGGTGGGGCTCAGGCTGGCCTGTGGCCTCCGACAGCAAGTATCTAGCCTGTTAGCAGGCTTCATTATTCTAACTTGTTTCTGCTTGAATTCTGAAACACTCAAAACGACATGGCTGGCAGAGGGAGCCCCTGGTAGTGGTAGCTGCCACATGGATGCTTTTGGCCACGAGACCTGCCACCCTTCCCGCTCCCCTCCCCGGGGCCGTCTGCGGTGGGCAGGGCTCAGGCCACTGGCTACAGCTCTCGGCTCATGGCTTGGCTTGTGCTTTGTTTTGTTTTGTTTTTTGAGACGGAGTCTCGCTCCGTCACCTAGACTGGACTGGAGTACAGTGGTGCTATCTCTGCTCACTACAACCTCTGCCTCCCAGGTTGAAGTGATTCTCCTGCCTCAGGCTCCCAAGTAGTTGGGTTTACAGGCACCCACCACCATGCCCAGCTAAGTTTTTGGTATTTTTAGTAGAAACAGAGTTTCACCGTGTTGGCCAGACTGGTCTCGAACTTCTGACCTCAGATGATCCGCCCACCTCAGCCTCCTTTTAAAGTGCTGGGATTACAGGTGTGAGCCACTGCGCCCGGCTGTGTTTCTTTTGAGATGAGTTTTGTTCTTGTCACCCAGGCTGGAGTGCAATGGCATGGTCTTGGCTCACTGCAACCTCCGCCTCCTGGGTTCAAGCGATTCTCCTGCCTCATCCTCTCAAGTAGCTGGGATTACAGGCACCCACCACCACACCAGGCTAATTTTGTGTTTTTAGTAAATACTGGGTTTCTCCATGTTGGCCAGGCTGGTCTCGAACTCCTGACCTCAGGTGATCTGCCCACCTTTGCCTCCCAAAGTGCTGGCATTACAGGCGTGAGCCACTGTGCCCGGCCTCTTGGCTTGTTCTTAGTTTTGGGTGACTACAAATAATGGCATCATTGATCTCCTGCCTCACCCGGGGGAAACAACTTCAAGAAAATGGCTTTTAAATGTCATGAAATGGCTCGCTCTTCTCCTTGTGGAGAACAGACATTGAAGCATTTGGCCAGCTTTGCCTAGACGCAGTTCCCCGCACTCTATTGCGAGAGGGTCAGGGCCTCCAGAGACACACTCTGGCCTGTGTTTTGTTTGAAACTGGGTGTCACACTCTCACCTCTTGTTGAGAGGTGGCCCTGGCTGGGGGAGGCTGAAACCTTGGTGGGGGCCAGGAGGGAGGGGATTTGGGGTGAGGTCAGTGGGTCCTGGGGGAGTTTGGGCAGGGCCTGACAGCTTGGAGCAGGGTCAGGGGTCTGCAACCTAGCGCCTGGGGGCTCTAACATCTGGCTAGGAAGGTTGGAGCCGGCTGGTGAGGAAATAGGAGTCTTGGGGAGAATGGCATCTGGGAGAGGGGAAAACAGAAATTATCTGTCCACTTAGAGGATGGTCTCAACCATCAAGCTGATTTTCTGTGTCTGCGTGCTTATTTGGTAATGAATACGGTCTCAGCTGACTTGCATTTTCTGATGGCCGTCGTATCCTAAGTAGGCTGTTTGGTTCTGTCTGCAGTGTTCAGTCTGGGGAGTGATTCCCTTTTAGTCCCCTCATATGAATCACTTACAGTTTAGAAAACAGAGTCGGAAACTGACTTGTCAGTGGTTAATCAGTTGGCCCTATGACTTTTAAGCATTCTTGGCAGTGAATTTACTTTCTAATTTGATTTAAACTTGTGCATGGATCCAGCAGCCATATGTGATTATATTCAAGATCATCGACATTATCTCATTATACCAAAGGACTCATAGAAGAGAGCCGAAAACAAGCAGGGGACGCAGAGACACAGAAGATGATGAAGGAGGAAAGGCCCATTGCGACTGCAAGCAAAGGGAGAAGGGAGGCTCTAGAAAAGTGACAGCTCTAGGGGACCAACACTCCCTGCTGGGGAGGCCTGCCTGCAAGGCAGAGCTGCTGCAGGCTGCCCATGTTAGGCCTTGGAGGTGTCACCTAATTTACTGTGGTCCTTCCAGGAGCCCTGGGGGCCTCGCCCAGCTGACTTAGGAGCTACCACAAAGTTAGCTACCTGTAAGACAGATGGTGCTTGAATAGAACAGCAAATACACTGAATAAAATAAATTAAAAAGCCTCCTCCTGAA